ATTTAGCCGAATCGTGGTAATCTGGACCGAGTGTGTCTGAGAGTTTTGGACTTGGGACTCAAAGGTCTTGGTCTTGGACTCAGGTATGTCATCAGACATGGTGATTAGAGTTGTTTGGAAGAGAAAAACAAAAGGAACAGCTAGGGGTTTTTTTTTTCAGAAGAATCGGTAAGATGCTCTGATACCAAATAGGCGATTTCAAGATTGAAAGAAATCTGTATATTGCCTTCCTTTGAATGGTTTACAATGCTTTAGTTAAATAGGACATATAAGGGGCTAAAAAAAGGAAACTACAAGCTGACTACAAGCTGTGACAGCAAACTACAGGCTGTAATTACAGGCTGTATACTAACAGAAGCTACAGGCTGTGCACTAATAGAAGCTACAGGTTATACACTAAAATATCCCCTAAAATCTGGTCATTGACTATCTATATTTACACGCCTATCATATCCCCTAAAATATGGTCTTATTAAAACCAAATATCTCTTTTTCAACAGCATCCATTTCTAATGAGGTTGTTCGGAGTCTTTGGGGCGGAAGGTTTGTGGAATGGGAGGCTTTGAATACTTAAGGTACTTTTGACGGAATTTTAGTTATATGGGATTGTAGATGGCTGTCTAGGATGGACGTGTGGATGGGGAGGTTCTCTGTGTCCTATGTGTTTAAGATGGAAGAGGACAATTTCAGATGGGTTTTCTATGCGGTCTACGGACCGGTCGTTGATAGTGATCGACCTCTTTTTTGGGAGGAGCTTTGCCATGTTCAAGGATTGTGGTCTCTTCCTTAGTGCCTTGGTGGGGATTTCAATTCTATTAGATCCTTGCTAGAGAGGTCTACAAGGGGGGAGGTGGTCTTCAGATATGGTTCAGTTTTCTGACTTTATTGATGAGCATTTTCTCATTGATTTACCAATGGAAGGTGCAGCCTATACGTGGTCCAATGGTGGTCTTCAAATATGGTTCAGTTTTCTAACTTTATTGATGAGCATTTTCTCATTGATTTACCAATGGAAGGTGCAGCCTATACGTGGTCCAATGGCAGGGACCCTATCACTTTATCAAGGCTGGATCAGTTTTTGATCTTTGTGGAGTGGGAAGAGAAATTCCCGGATGCTGTTCAGGCGGTTTTAGCAAAGGTTACCTCTGATCATGTTCCTTTGGTTTTGGATTATGGGGGTTTGAGTTCTCAATGTTCCCCATTTTGATTTGAGAATATGTGGCTGAGAGTGGAGGACTTCCAAGGGAAAGTTCGGTCTTGGTGGGAGGAAGCAATGGTTACAGGGTCACCCAGTTTTATGTTAGCCAGGAAGTTAAGGGCTCTCAAACTCGAGCTTACGAAGTGGAATAAGGATGTATTCGGTAATCTTGAAAGGAGGAAGAATAGAGTCCTTACTGATTTTTCTGAGATTGATCGTCTTGAAGAGGCGGGTAGGGATGTGGAGTCTCTACATTCTAGCAGAGCCTCCTGTTAGGCAGTTCTTGCTGAGATTGCTAATATGGAGGAGATCTCATGGCAAGAAAAATCTCGGGCTCTTTGGCTAAAATAGGGAAATCGTAACACAAATTTTTCATAGACTTGCTAATGACCACAGAAGGAGTAATCACATAGGGTGAATTTGGGTGTATGGTATGGAGTTGTGGAGGGAGGAAGAGGTGCGTAATGGGATCGTTTCTTTTTATCAGAAGCTTTACACCGAGCCGTTAGCTTGGAGACCCAGGCTTGATAGTCTCCATTTTGAGGCTATTTCTGAGTTGGATAGAGATGGGCTTAAGGTTCCTTTTTCTGAAGAGGAAGTTCTAAAGGCTTTATCAAGTTGTAATGGGGACAAAGCTCCGGGGCCTGATGTGTTTACTATGCGATTTCTGATGAAAAGTTGGGCGGCGGTGAGAAACGAGGTAATGGGTACATTTCAGGAGTTTCATTCTACTGGCGTCTTTAAGAAGTCATTAAATGCCTCATTCATTGCCCTTATCCCTAAAAAGGGTGGTGTTTCTGACATTAAAGATTTTAGACCTATTAGCCTAGTGGGTTGCATTTACAAGCTCATGGCTAGGGTTCTTGCTCTTCAGATGAGGGATGTCATGGATGGAATTATTTCGGATTCCCAAAATGCTTTTGTCGGAGGACAGCAAATACTTGATTCAATTCTTATTACAAGCGAATGTGTGGATTTCAGATTGCGAAGTGGTGTCCCCGGAGTCTTATGCAAACTTGACAATGAAAAAGCTTATCATCATGTGAACTGGAATTTCCTACTATACTTACTCCAGAGAATAGGGTTTGGAAGCAAATCGAGGAAATGGATAGAAACATGCCTTTCGTCTATAAGTTCTCTGTTCTTGTGAATAGGTCTCCTGCTGGTTTATTTGGGTGTTCTCGGGGTTTAAGACAAGGAGATCCCTTGTCGTCTTTCCTTTTTCTCATTGTAATGAAGGGTTTGAGCAGACTTATGAGGAGGGCAGAGGATCTCGGTCTTATAAAGGGCTTTAGGGTGGGTAGAGATCTAGTCCATCAGTTGGAGATCTCTCATTTACTATTTGCAGATGATACCCTAGTTTTTTATGATGCCAATGTGTCTTAACTTAGATACTTGAGGTGCATTCTGGCTTGTTTTCAGGCGGTTTCTGGACTGAAGGTCAATGTGGCTAAGAGCGTGATTATCCCAGTACGGGATGTTCAGGATATCTCCTCCTTAGCCGCAGTCCTTGGGCGTAAGGTGAGTTCTTTTCCCATTCATTGCTTGGGTTTGCCCCTAGGGGTTTCCTCTAAGAGAGTGGGGAGTTGGAATCCTGTGATTGACAGGTATGTGAAGAGATTGGCAGGATGGAAGAAGCAATATCTGTCCAAGGGGGGGTAAGTTACTCTTACAAAGAGCACTTTATCGAGCCTTCCTACATATTTTTTTATCTATGTTTCAAATTCTATACTCTGTTGCCGAAAGGATCGAAAAAATCCAAAGGGATTTCCTTTAGGGCGGAAGGGGCGAAGAGTTTAAGTATCACCTTGTCAGATAAGAGCAAGTTTGCAAGCCCATGAAGCTGGGTGGTCTAGGTATCAGGAGGTTGGTTCCCTTTAATCAAGCTCTCTTGGGTAAATGGTTATGGAGATTTGGGAGGGAAAGGCATCCCCCTTGGCGAAGGCTAGTTTCATGTTGTTTTGGGGAAGAGAGTGGCGATTGGTCTACCCGTCCGATTTCTATTGTGGGAGGAGTTGGTGTGTGGAAATCCATTCGGAAAGGATGGGATGTCTTCTCTTCCCATATCAGATTCAAAGTTCGTGATGGCAGATGTGTTCGATTTTGGGAGGATCTATGGTGCAATGCCCAGACATTAACTTGTACATTTCCCAGATTATACAGTATTGTAGTTAATAGACATGCTTGCGTAGCTGACTGTTATCGGCTTGATAGTAGTGGGATTACGTGGGACGTGCACTTTCGTCGTTCTTTTCAGGATTGGGAGATGGACGAGGTATGTGTTCTTTTGGATCTATTTTATCAGCAGGAGGCAGTTAGCAGAGGTAGTGATGATCTTACGTGGATCCCCTTTTCCCACGGTCATTTCGAAGTATGATCCTTGTTCCTATGCCTATCTAACTTTGATAGCCTTGATTTTCCATGGAAGACCATATAGCGTTCTATGGCTCTAACTAGAGTGGCATTCTTTGTATGGATTGTTGTATGGGGTAAGACCCTGACAATTGACAATTTGAGGAAGAGAGGTAACTATATCGTTAATTGGTGTTGCCTGTGCAAATTATTTGGTGAGTCAGTTGATCATATCCTTTTGCACTGCCCTGTGACGTACGACTGTTGGAATCTTATACTCGGTTTGTTTGGCATGCTTTGGGTAATGCCCCGATCTTCTAAGGATCTGATTCATGCATGGAGAGGATGTCGTGTGAGAAGTGGTGTACGTGATTACTGGAGAGTGGAGGATAGTTCCACATTGCGTGTGATGGTGCATTTGGAAGGAAAGGAATAACAGAATATTCGAAGGGAAGGAGTTGTCCACGGCGACGCTGAAGCTTCATATTATGCACTCTCTTTTTAGTTATGTGAAGAGGAGTTCTTACTCCTCCTCCAATGATTTAATCATTTTTTTGGATTCTTTGGGGCCTTAGATCCCGGTTCCACTTTTGTATAAGGGACGCGTTCCCCTTTTGAACGCCATTTTTATTCAATTATTACTTATCAAAAAAAGATTAAGTGATGTCAGGCAGTAACTTATTTTCAATTTTTTTTTTTTCCTAAATAACTAATTTTCATTTTCTTTAGTTTTGTTAAAGGATTTATATATTTAAGTTACACCCAGTCTTAAGCTTTTGGAATAGATGGTTGTTAACATGGTATGAGAGCCAAAGGTCTCGAGTTCAAACCTGAACTTAAGCTTTTGGAGTAGATGGTTGTACAAGTTTGTTTTGTCTCCTTATTGCTTAAGTGAGACTTTCTTTTTCCACTTCCTGCTTTTGAAGTTGGTTTTGCAAAGGGATGCCTTTGCCATCTGTCTATGTACTATTATTCTTCATATCAATAAAAATTTCCTCATTTACCCAAGGAAAAAATAAAAAAATAAAACTAGCATTCTGATTTCAAAGCCATAAATCCAGAAAATGGAGTGCAAATGAATTTCGCATCCATTAAACAAGGTAGTGAAAAAAGAAAAAGGATAGGTGGATTCTAGAAGACATGGCTAACTATGGCTAACTATATCCCACGATAAACACGAGACATGCATATGTTTGGTTAGACTAATAGCATCTCAAATTCAGATAACAGCTAAATTCGGAATAGAAAGTATCACAGGCAGTACGGATCCACCACAGCATAACAATTTTCCAAAAGAAAATATTGACACCGACAGAAACCAACACGAATGGAAAACTCTAGTTTCTTTATTCAAAATTTCCAAGCCTCCAATTAAAACTTATTAACAAGAAAATATAGACGCAGACAGAGATTGAACAAATACAGAATTTAGATTGCATAAATATATTACCTTAAACGCATGTCGCGCTTTGCATCCCATGAGTTGCAGAGCACTCTGCAGAACAGATCGTGTGTAACGAAATGTCTCTTTCCCATTTTCACTCTTCCCTCCATCGTCCACAACAACTACATACAACAGTTTACCCACCTCCGCCATTTCTAAACAACAAAAATAACCTCAATTGACGAAAATCATCAAGAATTGAAAAGCGAATTCAATAGAATTCAGAGAGAACTCGAAGAAAAATAACATAACATCATAATGTAGCTTTGAGACTCGAACGAATCTTAACAACCAGATACGATTCGTACTAAGACGCACCTGGAGATCGAGTCGAGATCGATCGGATTTGAGACGGTTGAGGAAGACGTTTAGTGGTCATAAGGCGTGACGTTTCGCCATTTCAATAGCTCCTTCCAACACGATCTCGCCATTTCTGTCACCTCCTTCCACGCATCACAGCCTCCGAAGCTCCACGAGTCGTTTTCATGTAAAATTATACACGCGTTTGTCTCTCTCCTGTTTCTCGCTCTACGCGTACTGACGGATTTGGCCTCCATAAGAACGCGTATTTCAAACTGCCCTCGGCCCGTTTGTTTTATGGAAAAAGATAATAATAGCACTGTAATAAAAATAATAATAATGGTAAATTAGACGACGAAATAAAGACTTTCATTTCTTTCAAAATTCTTTCTCTATCTTTAAAAGACATATTTATTATAATAAAATACAATATATATATATATATATAGATATATATATATGTACAAAAAGGTAAATAAGTCTAACTAATGAAGTTAATGTAATTTGATAAACAATAAAAATTTGTTTTGGAATGAAAATTAGGTTTTATTTGGTTTAATTTTCTAATATTAAATAACTAAAATTTAATGTACAAAAACTTGTTTAATTGTTGTTTTTATGAAAACTATTTTCCAAAAAATCATTAAAGTTTACCATATTTAAAATAATTATCTTTTATGATTCTCTTAAACCAATTATTTTTTAGAAGTTTTTTCATAAAATTAAGCTAAATGGATTCTTGTGATGTTTCTATTTTAAAAGAGTGATAAAGAAATGCAAAGATTTAGAGGGAAAATGAGGGGCTCACTCATCTTTGGCAAGGTGAAAATGATATTCACTTCGGATATGGTCTAACGGTTTACTCCCAAAATGTACAAGTTAGTGTCTGGTCATTGCACCATAGATTTGAGGTTCGAGTCTCGTTGGGTGTTCTTTGTGGCTAGTCTCTGCTGTCCCTGCATTGACTTACTCGGCCCCGGTGGGGGCCCTTCCGGGTCCTTGGGGATTAGTCAGGTTGTTGAAGGGGCTAAGGGTTTGTACCATTTCGGATACCCCGGGTTAAAAAAAAAAAAAAAAAAAAAGAAAATGGACAAAAACAAAAGAAAAAAATTAAAAATTTACGCTCAGTTTGCTTGGATGTAAAATGTTTTTTAAAAATATTTTTTTATTTTCTGGTGTTTAATTGTTGTAAAATATTTACAAAAAAAAAAAATATTAAAATTTAACAAAAATAATTTACCTATCAATTTTCAGCAAATTATTTTACACTCCTCACCAAATGGACTCGACTTCAGCCTCAACCTAGACTTTTACCAAATACCAAAAAGTTAAAATAGAAGAATATTTTTCAAGGAAAATATTTTACGTCTAGCTTTAATATTTACTTATTTTCTTAATATTTATTTTAAAAATTGAATTTCACTATTTATTTTATTACTCGTAAAGAGATCGATTATATTAGTATTTTTTTCTCTCGTTATTTTTTCCCCACACAATATAACATTAGTGATTAGTATTACCTTTTCATTTTTTTCTTCTAATTAATCAACTATTCACACTTAAAAGTTAAACACTATCATTCTCTTTTTCACTCTCATAATTAATAATTAATATTATGGTTCTCTTCATATTATTTCCATACAAAGTGGTAGCAGTTGTAATTTGGTTGGAAAGGAAAGGGCAATATGTTGCCATGTAATGTGAAGCGTGAACAACCTCCTCGTCCCTTTCTAATTAAGAAGGAAAAAAGAGACATCGAAATAGACATGATGGTTGCGCTGCGTTGGCCTCCTTTGTTCCATCAAATAAAGTAAAAGCGAGGCTCCGTTTGGTGGTGGGGATAAAAATTGACACAAAGGAAAATAAATCATCTCTCTTATCCTAAAAAAGCTATTAGCAAATGTGCTTTCACTTGGTATCTCTCTTTCCTCCGCTCCCAGGAAATGAATAAAAAGGAAGAAAAACTCGGACTCCTTTGTTTGACGGAAGGAATTAATAAATAGAGGAAAAAAAAAAAAAAGATCGAGGGCTAATTTGGTGTGACAGAATATTTAGTAAGTTAAATTAAAGTTGGAAAGAGAATCAAGAGGCATTCTCGGGAATAACCATTCCCACAATTTCATTCTCTCCCTTTAACAATAGAATGAGCATTCCATTCCCACATGAATAGAATTAAAAAAATTATGACCAAAAAAAAAAAAAAAACCGTTCATCATCCCTTCCATCACGTCTTTGTTCTCTTCCTATCCACCCCTTCATATTGAATCTGTTATACTCTTTTCCATAATATATATATATATATATATATATATATATATATATATATATATATATATCTCGATGCATATGTTACTTCATCACGGATCTATTATACTCCTTTCCATGCATATGTTGCTTCATCACGGATCTGCTATACTCCTTTCCATAATCCAGTAACTTTAATATATATTCTTCGATGCACATCACGTATTGTATAAAAAATACTTTGTAATAGAAATAGATCAAGAACATCTTTTTTCCCTGCACGGTAATCATTATGTGTTTTGAGGTAGTATTCAATTAATGGAAGGGGTGAATTAATTCCAATAAATAAATAAAGGAAGGATTTTTTTAGGAAGGAAATCTATTATACTCCTCTCCATAATCGAGCCTTCTTCCCCGCCGCCATCATCATCTTCTCTAACACACAACCCAACCTCCAACACCTCCGCTCACTTGCCCAGTTTCTTTCTTCTCTCTATTTTCTCTCTCTATCTCTTGCCCCAATTTCATTCTTACAGATCTCTTTCTTACCCTGGATTGGAAAAAATTTCTTTATTGGAAAAAATTTCTTTAGATGTTAATTTTTTAGTTAAATTTTTTATTAATGATAAAGGTTATTTGGAGAAAACAATATAAATTTATTCCATTTTAGTTTTTACATTAGTCAAACCAAACGTGAATGAAAATCATCATTTCATTTTTACGCAGTCCATGTTTGTAACCAAACAAGAGAATGGAAATCATCATTCCCATTCCATTTCATTCCCATTCCATTCCTAGTTTCATTCCCATTCCATTCCATTTCATTCACGCACACCAAACTAGCCCTGAGATTCCTTTTGTGGAAGAAAAGAGGCATTTTCAGAGAAAGAGGAGTGACATTTCTTCCTTTTTTTTGATAAAGTGGAAGGCAAAGACATTTAAACTATGAAGCACGGACACCGACACGGGACACAGGTATGACACGATACGATAGGACACGAACACCGCAAGGATACGACAATAAAATAATAATATATTTTTTTATTATATATAAAATTTTAATTTCACTTATAATTTTATTTATATTAATAGACAACTCATTTATATTAATTCCAACTAAACTTTTATTAAAATAAAAACAATAAATAAGTAGTATATCTTTGTATCCAATACTAGAATAGTTAAATTTATAACCAAACACATTGATAAAGAGATAAGTTTTCAATGTTATCTTCTTGGTCTTCCCACGTTGACGGATTATCTTCTCTCTCCTCTAAGCGGCGTCTTTATTTCCTCTGTCTCTTAACTTTCTGTCTCCCTTGTCTTTCATTGGTGGCTCTTGATAAGCGCTGAAAAGTGCGCATTTAAATCTCTTAAGCTTGAACGTTCTAGGACCTTATTCTATCTTATTTTCTCGTTTTAGTCTAATTTCATATTATTTCCCTTTTCAAGCACTTATCCCCAAAATAAGTCAATTCAGTTGAATTAGAGCATAAAAGATGCAATTTCAAGCTTAGTGAAAGAAAGGAGCAAAGCAGAAGCAAAGTGGTTAAAAACAGCATTCTTCGATTGATCGAACCAAGCTCCAATTGATCACACAGTGATCGTTCCAACCATGCCAAGATGGATCGAGCCTTTTGTCCTTATCCTTAAGAAATTTCCCTCTTCGATCGATCCAACATTCCTTCGATCGATCGAACATTTTTTATCTTATCCTCACCTACCACTTTTTTCCTTTTCCCAAAATATCCCGAAAATATCTCAGCTTTGTCTTTATTCTAAAAAGGCGCCGCCATAGTTCGATCAATCGAACCACCCTTGTGATCGATCGAACCTCCTCAAGTGCGAGAAAAGCAGAGTTCCAGCCAATTAAAAGGTGTGCTCGTGGTGCAATCATTGGGAGGTCCTAGTGCACGAGGTCTAACCATTGGGTGTGACATTTGAGCTACCTATATAAGGATTTTGGCCATTTTTACAAATATATACTTTAGAGGGGAACCATATACAAGAGAGAAGTTAGAGGAGTCTAAAGATTAGAGAGAGAAATACACACCATTTTGGAGAGTTCTTCCACTCATCTAGGGTTTCTACTAAGAAGAAGAAGATCATTTTTACCATGGAGATAGCCCTTGAGGGTTGGATGACTACATCAATGAGTGGCTAAACCATTCTCTTGGGGCTAGAGATAGACCTGAGCATGCCTCCTAGACTTTGATATTTTGTAATTAAAGGGGATTTGTGTTGTAATTATTGTCTTGACATCTTATATATATGAATCTTTGTTCTACAATGATTTGTGTAGTCTAATACTTCCAATGAATCATTTACTTTTATCCAAATGTCTGTGTATGCTAGGATGAATGTTCATGTGTTTATTTTTATATTTTGTGACATTGATGCATGTCTATGTGTGTTGATATTATGAATCTAGTAATGATCAAGACATGGTGCTTAAATAGATTACTCTTGTAGTTCATTTGATGGTTCATACTTATTTCTTGATGGATTGTGCCACACCCTTAGTTTAGTTATTTTAATTTCATGTCACTAATTTAGTTGTAGTGTAGTTACCTCATTTTCTTAGATAGGTGGACAATCCATGCTTGTTATTTGATATACGATACTTATGAATGCAAGTAGTATATTTCTCTAATTTGATGATGTGCATTGATTGTAGACTTAAATGAAGGATTAATGGCTTAATTTGATATGTTGCGCTATTCACTAGTTTGGGTAGACAATGTATACTTCATTGGCTATCCATGCTTGTTGATTCAATTAATGGTACACACTTTTATTGCAACATTTAGTCCCCTTAATCCATCAAACATTGAATGTCTAGGAAGGTAATGCTTAGTGGTGCACTCTAAGTCCCAAGACCCCTCTCTTATACTCTCTACACCTCACTTTACTTTAATTGATTTGCATTACATTTATT